CTCTCTCTCTCTCTCTCTCTCTCTCTCTCTCTCTCTCTCTCTCTCTCTCTCTCTCTCACACACACACACACACACACACACACACACACACATTCAGTTGAGAAATATATATGTATACACATGGTTGTCTATGCTGATAAGTTATATATAATACTTTTTGTATATATATATTCATGAGGAATTAGCATATTTCATACTTTTATCAAGAGCGAAGTTTGAAGAATGGACTTGTTTTTGTTGCGAAGACAAAGGAAAACTTCCTTGAAAATTATCTATGGCATTCTAATGCCGGTTGGGCCCGTCGCTAAAATTGGAGGCCACCATGTGCCCCATATGATCGAGCTTGCAGCATGATCTGATTGACCGGATTCTCTGTGAGCTCACCTTGATTCACCCATTTGACTAGGGGAAGCTGCTCTATACTTTAAAAACAAAGAGATAGCTCCCGCTCTCACGGTTATGGGACGCAGTGCGTCGAATAAAGTTTCCCTCGTCAAGGGAGATGATAGTAATTTTTTTTTGGGGCCGTAACTATGAAAGGCGGTCTCCACCCAGGGGCCACCCCTGAGTGGCTTACGGCCCGTTTGCCGGGGTGCCTTTCGATGGTTGTGATGAGTAGAGGTTGAAATGGCCCCCGCCTGCATTTTTGAAAGGCGTGCAGCTATGATATATAACGACGTGTAGCTAGTGTCCAATCCCTCTTCAACCGGCACTCTTCATACCGGCGCTTTTGGATGATTGTTTGAAAGCACCGCTGGATGTGTCGTTCTCTTCCGTCGAATGCGCCGCTGTCATGGTGGACGATCTTGATGCTGCCACTCTCATTGAGGGATAGTTCTCCGGGCTTCGTCTATATCTCTCTCTCTCCCTATCTCTCTCTTTCTCATTTGTCCCTTCCTCGCTTCCTCTTTCCCATCGTTCTCAAGTACCCCCCCTCCCCCCTGACCCCCACCTAATCCGTGGATTGATAGTGGGTGGGATTCTGGCGGGCTCGGTTCTGAGTTATAGTAATCATAAGTGGCGTGCCTTCGTCCTCGGCTTCGCGAACGACGGTGATGCATTTCTTGCTCCATGGCCCCACCACCCACCCCCTGCACCCTCCCCGCCGCCCTTTCTTCAAAAAAAAGCTCGAAAGCGAGCCAGATCCCTTCCGGAGCGTATACTTAAAAGTTATTTTAACCCCTGATGAGCCAATCAATGGTGGGGGTTGGCGAGAAGGCCCTGAGGACTACCCACTAAAACCGTTTCGTAATGTCGACATAAACAGGGCCGCATGGGCGGATTGGGGTTCTATTCTATTCTCTTCTCTTCTTCTATATCCTATTCCTACGCCCCTTTCTTGCTGTATGGATACATGATACTACTTAACCCCCTCCTTGCTGTAAAAACTTTTGTTGCTGTTGTCGATGTGATGGTGTTGTGTGCGTGCACTAGGAACTGGTGGCTAAGTCTTCAGGCCCGTGGGAATGAATATGGAAGCAGCGATTTTTGTTTTAGGGATCGTCGTCGTCCGCTCCAGTTTATTCGGGTACCTGGCTTTCGTCGCGTATCTGGAAAGTGAGTGCATCAAAGCATCTTGCCTCCAGGTGTCCTTGCATTCGAATCAGTCGATTGGCACTTCTGGTAGGGGCAGGTGTGTGATTGGTAGGTGATGGGGAATTTTGGGATGGTGCGCAGTGAGCTGCATCGGAGGGCGTGGATGGTGTTTTTGTTGTTCGTAATGTTCGCATCATCGGCCGTTATGATGGGCTTTGGCGGTAATCTGATGAGCTCTAAGGAGGGGGTGTGTGTGAGGGGGCTTGAATCTTGTTCAATCCATAAACACGTGCAATTCCATCTCCTACCGAAAGCACTCGACCGATTTCATCCACTTGTAATTTGGTATAATAATTTGTAATTCTTTGTTCTAATAAAGTAGATAGTTCCGCTCCAGCAAATTTGTTCATAAATTTCATGCTCTCTTTGAAACTCAAAGGAATTGATGGGGGCCTGCACAAGCGGTGGAGCATGTGGTTTAATTCGATACAACGCGCAAAACCTTGCCAGCCCTTGACATATGAAAGAAACTCCTCGTATAGCTTCTTTATGTTCAAGCATTCTAGCTAAAACATTCTCTTTATTCTCTTCTGGATTATAATTGCGTATAAAGAAAATAGCTCCATGAGCAAAAGCACCTACCATTATAAAACCAGCAATATACTGATGATGAGTATACAAAGCAGCTTGAGTAGTAAAATCTTGTGCAATAAAAGCATATGATGGTAATGAATACATATGTTGAGCTACCAAGGACGTGATCACTCCTAAAGAAGCTAATGCAAGTCCTAATTGAAAATGAAGAGAATTATTTAGGGTGTCATATAAGCCATTATGACCACGTCCAAGTCTTCCTCCAGGGGGTGTATGAGCTTCTAATATTTCTTTTATACTATGGCCAAATGTTCAGTGGAACAAATACAAGATAACACGGTGGTGGTTGAAACAGGGCTGAAAACTCGATTCATTTGTTTGAAACATGAACTGGAAGAAAAAAGGAAAATTGGAGATGAATTCAATTTTGGAGTAGAAAATGTAGAAGTGTTTGGTGAACCAAAAATGATTTTGCCTACGAAATGAGGTTATTGCATACATTCCGGGAGAAGGCCATAAGAGCACTCTATTGTTATGGTTCGAGGAGGTAGAGTCAAAGATTTGCCTGGTGTAAAATACCATTGTATTCGAGGAGTGAAAGACTTACAAGGAATTATAGTTGGAATTAAAAAAGCAAGCAGCAGTAATCCGTTGAAGAAGCCAATGTGCCAATCTTTCTCTATTAGCTTTCATTCGTTTACACCTTTTTTTACGACAAAGAGAATCTCAATGTAACTAGACAAGCTGCAAAAAAAAGAACATAATAGTTCCGGAAGTGTACACCTTTGATAAATCTAAGCTGTGCCCTAAATCCTACAATAAATGTCGAATTCCGTTGCTCAGGGCTGGTAAGGTTTTGCGCGTTGTATCGAATTAAACCACATGCTCCACCGCTTGTGCAGGCCCCCGTCAATTCCTTTGAGTTTCAGCCTTGCGACCGTACTCCCCAGGCGGAGTGTTTAACGCGTTAGCTAGGTCCCTCATTGAATCGCCCCCCAAAACCACCGGGCGTAGACCAAGGACCAACACTCATCGTCATTTTAGAAGGATTCACTATGTTCGCTATGCGGACGACTTCCTGATTGGAGTCATCGGACCTAGAGCACTAGCCGATAGAATACGAAGTCTAGTGGCACGATTTATTGAAGTAAGGCTTAGCCTTCGGCCCTTCTTTTCAAAGACGCTCATAACTCGACGAGCTAAAGGCTCCCACGGGCCGGCTTTTCTCGGGTTTCTTATCAGCTCCTCCAGACTCTCTCACTTCGTGGCCTTCGAATATCGACAGTGGGACACACTGGTAGTAATGAGCTCCTCCTTGCTATTATCATGATGCATTGGTCTTTCGTGTCAGCATTTATCGTTATCTGTTTCGGCGGATCCGGCTGTTACAACTGTCCCTACTGTTGCCACTCCTTTTTTATGCGAGAATTATGTAGATGGCTGCTTCCGAAGAGATCCAAGTTGTCGCCATTCTTTCTGAGTGGGTGGATGCGATGGTGGTTGAGGATTGCCGGGCCGGGAGGAGTTTTGGGGAAGTGATGCTTTTCTGCTGAAGCTGGTGTTATTGGGAATTTATATTTTTTCAAAAGCAGTATGATCGCCCAGCTGTTGTCGGCATTATCGGAGAGGTCCCCAGCCTGGTGATGGACCCTGAAGTTGTCTTCGGCGGGTTATTGCAGCGCCGCTGGTGGATGGGATAATAATACCGTCATGAAGCTCCCCCCCTTTTTTTCGGCGACGTCAATATATATATTTTTTTTCCATACCGCCTCCTCCTCCCTTGCCTCCCCTGCCCCTAGTTCGGTGTGATGTGATGGCAGCTGCTTGCTGGCCTGACGGATGCTGTGATTCTGCCTACGTGGTTTTTCGGATAGCTGAGGTGGACTAGGGGTTGATCATACGCAGGCAATTGGGGGATGGCCTGTGGGTTATCTCCGCGCACACGCGCCTTGAATTGTTTTTTGAATATACTTGGATACGGAGTCTTGTGATGTTCTTTTGGTTTCACAGCATTTGCATCATTGTTTTTCCAAGCCTCTCGGAACATATTGCTCGGGTCACACACTTTTAAGTCCCTGGCCTGTTAATATCCATTATGGCGACTCTGCGAGTTTAATATTTGTCTGTGGGCAGGAAATCACTGATTGCTAAATGGTGGATGCCTTCTCTTGATCCTATTGCCTCCCTCCTCCCTTTCTTTCTCCCTCTTCCTCTTCTCCCTCTCTCTCTTTCTCTCTCTTCCCTTGCCGGCGAAATCCTGGCCCTGGAGCACCTTTGTATGTTTTCTATGAATACCGATCTGGTGGGATGTCTGGGATGGTGTGCGGCAACTGTATATCACTGGAATTTTGGAGCTTAAGCAACTTTTCTTAGGAAAAATCGAATGGAGTTTTCTCCCATAAAGCTCACTTGAATGTCCTAGAAGCACGCTGTTGCCTCTTGGGATTAGTTTTCTGAGCCGAGCTTTGCAACCCGCCGCGTCGAATGACGT